GTAGGTAAATTGAGGACCCAGTTGTGGGGGCAATAAGCTGACTTTGTATAAATATACAAAAGAATGAAGGCTATTGCTGAGCACATTGTAAGCCGCCCTAAGTCTCCGGAGAAGGGTGTCATATAAATCAAATTTAAAAAATTTAAATTTTTTTTTAAAAAAATTGTAAAACTGTCTCCCATAGTTTTCTACAACTCACTGGAAAAGCCAGCGAGGATTCTAAACTCTCTGAGATGTGAACAGCAATGGACAATATTGTGGTAAAAAAAATAAATAAATGAGATTAAATTAAATAAATTATTAAACTAAAACAATGTCAACATAATTATGCCATGTGGAAAGAAAAAGGGAATATCATGGTCAAGAGACACCAAAGATTGTCAGGATATAGCAAGGAGGCAGAGAGATGAAGAAATAGAGAATGAAAAGGCTGCATGTCTCCAGAATGACAAGGCATGGTACACAATGAAGATAAAAAATAGAAACGGAAGATCAATTCAAGAATATCTGGCAAACACAATAAGAGTTCCTTCAACAACAAAACCTCAACAAAGAAAGAGCAAAGCAAGGTACCCAACTTTACAGTGTAATATTTCTGCTGATGTTGGTCCCGTGGCCAAAGGCTGCCCTCACTGTTCTGCTTTCCTATTCTCTGGAAAAACCACAAATTTCTGCAAATGAATGGAAAGATCAGGATAGGCAGTGTGATGAAATGTACAGCTGGAGAAGAAGTTGTGTGTGTGTGTGGGGGGGACATCTCGACAATCACGCTGCAGCTTCCCAGAGAGGAGGCAGCACATTCCAGCCAGAGGACCAAATAAGAGACTGCAAAATCTTAACTGAATGGGGGAAGAAAGAAAAGGCTCAGAGTAACCCTAGTCTAGAATCTCCAAGGGCATATACTTTAGATTAGAAGGTTGTAGCTTTAGTCTGATGAGATTCTATCTCTTAGGTGTAAGGAAATTAAAAAAATGGTCTTGAATGGATTTCACTGTGTCATTTTTGGGTTTAAGCCTGACAGACTATTTGCAGCCTCTACCTATTGAGCTCATCAATTTATATAGCCGTGATGAACCTATTGAAAATGAATTCAGGAAGAACATCAAACGATGCAACTGCCCTTTCCAAATGACATCCTTTTGTGCCAAAGAAATCATTCCAATGAGAAACAGATGGAATTCTTCTGTAATTGTTTAAGGACAAATCCATCATTACATCGGACATTTAATGCTCCAACCATCAAGCCAATTTTTTTTTTATTTTTTTTTATTTTTTTAAATTTGATTTATATGCCGCCCTTCTCCGGAGACTCAGGGCGGCTTACAGTGCGTTAAGCAATAGCCTTCATACTTTTGTATATTTATACAAAGTCAGCTTATTGCCCCCACAAACTGGGTCCTCATTTAACCTACCTTAGAAAGGATGGAAGGCTGAGTCAACCTTGAGCCTTGGAGAGATTCGAACCAGCAGTAAATTGCAGGCAGCTGTGTTAATAACAGGGTGCTTTAAACCACTGTAGTACCAAGGCTCTATTCAAATTCACTTCATGGATCCTCAAGACAGAATAGAATTGACAACTGGTATATTCCACAAAGATGAAATTCAATATGTGATTGTTCAATAATTGGAGAAACTTCTATGACAATGAAACGTGTACATTTTGTCTCTTTGACATGGAAAAGAACAAATTTTAGACATGTCAAAAACTTCTATTGTCATTGATCTTGAGATAGCATTTGAACATGAGAGAAGACTTAATACATAAATTGGCAATAAAGACATTGTTATTATATCAAACAACACCAAAACTGAACCAACATCATGACACATTTTGTTGAAAAAAACATGGAGGTGGTTTGCAAGTAATTTCAGAATCCCATCACTCCTATAACAATTTTTAATACATATTTAATACATACTTTTCTTCTGTTTTGGAGATGAGGCTGGCATCATCAAATAATAAACAACAAGAAACTAATGGCAATACATTACTATAAATATTGCATAATGAACCATGGGAATCAACCTAATAACCTTCTAAGAGGAGAATGTCTATTATACCAACAATACGTGGTTGACATGGCTGCCAAAACAAGAGGCTGAGTTACATCCAAATGAATCAAGCAACCTTGATATCAACAACATATAGAGGCCTGACCGATGTGTTGGATGATGATGATGATGATTTAAGAAATGTTGAAAGGTGCAACATCCTCTCTTCAACATTTATTGGTGGACCAAGATATGTGATAAAATGATGTCAAGATGTCATGATGTACTGTATATATGGAAGTATGTCAGTGCTTCATTTATCATTACAATGACATGCAATCCAAACTGGCCAGATATATGACAGCAGCCAAATGATCCGCTAAATTTAATCACAAGAGTGTTCAACTTGACGAGAAAGTTGTTCATCAAGTATCTTACTGGAATATATGATCTCTTTGGTAAGTGTATCGCTTATGTGCTAAGTGTGAAATATCAAAAATGAGGCCTGCCTCATTTTCACTATCTGCTGTGGCTTGATGAAGGATCCAAGCCAAGACCAGGAGATTGTGATACTGTATCATATAAGCTGAAATATCAGACCCAAATGAAGATCCAGAGCTGCACACATGGATATTGAAGCACATTATCCATGGTCCATATTGCAGCAGAAACTTGGCATATTGGGGAAATTGTATATGCAGTAAATGGTACCCAAAGCCATTTAATGAACATACAAGGTTTGGCAATGATTCATATCCTATCTATAGGAGACAATCTTCAGAAATCAGAGGATTTAAAGAACATCAAGCAGGATGACAGAGTTGAACTAATTTCTCAGTACCTAGACAGCCTAGACAGTACCTAGACAGCCAACTATTGAAGGTGCTCAGTTGTCATCTCAATGTAGAAATATGCTCATCCAACAAATCCATGATCAAATATACCATGAAAGGGAGTGAGTAGGCAATTTTTGCACTGAACAGAGAAGATGAAATCACACAGTACTTGACAGATAATTGAAGCTGTTGCACAAAACTTTATGAGAGGGATCCAGCTATTGTTCTCCTTCAAGTGCACCTTCCACAACAGCATTAAGTATTCTTTTGAGATAATACTGATGTGCAACCGAAGAATCACTTTAGCAGAATTCATTCATCTGTGCAAACACAGTCCATTTGCAAAAACACTGTTCTATGTGGATATTCCAAGATTCTACAGTTGGACTAATAATAAGAGGTGGGAAAGAAAGAAAATTGGGAACAGAGTGCATGAATTAGTTGTCTGTAATTTTTGAAGCCAATGTTCCGGACAGAATGTATACATTTGGAAAGGAAGAACATGAGATCCTTTTAAAAATCAACAAGGGAGAATTCCAGGGTCTAAAGTACACACCATCATCAAGCTTATAAGTCACTATATATAGGAAAACTAAATGAGAATATAAATGAAGGTTGGAAATTTAAAATAGGGTTTTTTTTAATTCTCCAGAAAATTTATGGAGCAGAAAAAAAAATGAATGAAAAATTTTCCTGAATTTCTCCAAGGCCTCCAACCATTTTTCAAGAATGATGACAATAACACCAATATATGTACATAAACGTCTCTTCTCACCCTGTGGGTAGTCTGTGTCTTCCTCAGTCTCAGGTCCTTTAACAGAAGCCTGGGGTGTTTGAGGGTTCTGTGCAGGACCTTGGCTGTTCTTTATACTGCATTCTTCTGGACAGAGAGCTCTGATATCATTCCTATATTCTGTGGGAGTCATTTTCCCAGCTTAGGAGTCACATCCCCAAATGCTCCTCCCACCACTGGGATTACTTTGGCCTTTACTTTGTACATCATCTCCAGTTCCTCCTTTATTCCACCATGACATAAGCTTAGCATATATGTCAAATATTTATCTTAATATGTAAGACTTTGAAAATGCAGCTACTGGGTTTGAGTAGGCTATGGAGGAAGATAGGTAAGATAGACATATGCTGAAAACCTGTCAAGTGAATTAATAAATAGGTTTACATTATCTGTTATTATTTTGTTTAGTTGGAATGGGAAATTGCACTTTGGATATTAGGCAGTTGATTATTGTAATGAATGATTGGTGAAAAACTAAATGTTTGCTTTTCTCTTGTGTACATGAATGGACGTTTTACAGATTTGAATATGAGGACTCATGGGTAGACAATGAATTAAAGTTAGCAAAGATACAGGTCAAATCCATGTCAGAACAACATCCGTAATACATTACAAAAGGACCTCATTGATCTAGGACCAGTGGTGGGATTCAGTTAGTTCTCACTGGTTTGGGCAAACCAGTTGTTAAATTACCCACCCCCCGCTATCAAAGTGGATCCTGGGTGCTGCACTGCTCTGCAATGGAGAAATGGGCAATGGAGCAGCTGGCATGACGGAAGGCCACTTTCCCTTTTTCTTCTCTCTGCTCCTCCTCCTTCCCTCATGCCGGCTACTCCATTGCCATTTCTCCATTGCAGCGCAGCCCCCAGGATCCACTTTGATAGTGGAGGGAAGGATAATTTAACGACTGATTCTCCCAAGATCAGGTTGGCTGTCGCGGGAGGCTCGTCCCACATGTGCAGCAGAGCTGGAGGATGGGGATGGGCCACACCTCCCACGACAGACAACCTGACCCTGGGTGAACTGGTTGTTAAATTATTTGAATCCCACCACTGTCTAGGACCTCATTTTAGCAACCGAAAATTATTCATATTCAACTAAATTGTGCAAAAGGTATTTTGGCTCATTGAAGCATCCGAAGAAACACCTCAAAAATCATATTAGAATTTCCCATTAACTGCAGCCTGGATCTCTGAAAACAGAAACCTTCATGCTGAAAAGTGAGGCATTTGGGCAAACCACTTTTCCTTTCAATAAGCTGCTGAATTGGACCCAGAGTATACAACTCTGGTTGTTTGAACTCTGACATCTCTAAAAATGACTTAAATCTGCTAGCGTTTTTTTCCTGCAAGAAACACATTACCCATAGATAGGCTCACCATCATAGCAATAACCGTGCATACAAGGGTTGGAACTGCATTCATTGATGTTGATCTCACAGCGTGGTCCTGCAAAGCCTTTTATGCACTGGCACTGAAATCCAAGAGGAAAAGCAGTTAAGTCTAGCTCTTGTAGACACGCAGCTCCATTTTCACAGGGATTACCACCTTCACAGGGTTTGAATTCACAGTTGGAACCTGGAAATAAAAGGAACACACAAAAAAAGCACATTTAAGTTATGTAACTGTTCAGCTAAAGCACCACAAAGACTAAAAATGTGTTCTATTTTTGTAAAACGTGTATGGGGGTGTTTGTTATGCATGCTTGGGGTATAAGCTGGCATTTTTCTGCTTTTCAACCTCAGAATTAAAACATGGTCATGATTTCCTTTTCCAAAGAAATGTGTGATTTCATAATGAAAATTTACAGTCCACAATCAAACAATATTTTTTTTATTATATGTATTGCTTTCTGTGATTTCTTTAGCCATCATACCGAACTAGTTCATGCTATGGAAATTAAAAATAAAAGTCAAAACACTTCTTGTGAATAAATAAAACAAGTCAACACAAAAAGATGACACATTTCCTCATGAACACTGTTACTATTTAGCAAAATAATTTTAATAGGAAAAAATATTACCATCCAAATTCTGGATATTTATTCTATAATATCATTATATTCTGGTCCAGTAAGGTTTTCTTCTTATTCTGATTTTTCACCATTTTTAAGGCTGTATCTATACTACAAACTTAACAGGTTTCAATACAATTGCTCGTTTCCCCCATGGATCCTTGTCCCCGTAGTTTTATGAAAGTATATGCCGTTTGTTAGATGCTTTTGTAGTCCAGGAACAGAGTTTTCAGGATTTGTAGAGTGAAATACCTGATGGGCTATAAACTTATACCCATACCTCAGAGAACATCTCTTTGATACAACTGGAATTTTTTCCTGAACGTGATACTACTGTGCTGCATAAGATCCATATCCTAAAGAACAGCCTTGGTATTTTTATAAATATGTCTATTTTTTCAATGTTTTATGAAAATTCCCTTCTCCTATAAGATGTACAGTTGTTCAGTGTAATGAACATGGATATTTGTGTAAGAAAATTATTATCCGTTAATGAGACGAGGGATCAATAGCTTAGCCCATTCAAAGTGGCAGATGGATTACACTGACTTCTAAAAGCCTTTAGGAAATCAGAATACTATATAACATGAGACCTTGAAGTTGACATATAATTATAATAAAACTAATGCAAAATTGAGAAAACATAAAAAGACAGGTATAACATGTCAGAATATAGCAGTTAGTTTCTTTTTTTAAGCACTGACCTTACACAAGAAATAGAATATTTCTGTTTTTCTTTACAGATAGGAGCATCACTTTATTTCTTCCAAACAACCCAGATATAAATTGTGTCATTTAAATGAGAAGATGTGAAGCAAGTACCATCAATCTATATAACCATCTCCTTAGAATTCACTGCAATGTATTGCTATTAAAATTGTCTATATTTGACACATTTTGTCACTTAATCAAATTCTGTGCAAAAGCTTGCACATAATTTTTTGCACTGTTTCTCATTTTATGATTTTGACTGACTACTTAGTAATCTTTAATCTTTTTATAATTTGAGGAAACATGTCCTGTTTGAAAAATATTCTGAAAGGATAACTGACTGTCCACTTTGTAGAGATGGTAGAGGCAGAACTACAGGGGTAGTAGAATTATCACTTATAATATGAGCATAGTTTTCATAGATTCCTATCTATGATATCTACCTGCTGATGTAGGCCAGACACTACCACTTGACTTCAAGGGAAACTTGATGATTTATGTAGTCCACAAACTTTTTAATCATTGTTTCTCTTCTCTTGAAGTAGAGAATCCACACTCCCTAATTCCCTGCACGAGCAGGCATAAATCTAATTTTTCCATTTTTTTTCATACTCCAATATAATACAGGACTGTGAGGTAATGATCACATGTTGACTTTATAACATAATAAAATAAAACATTTTTTTCCCCATCCTATTGTTTTCAGTTCTCGGAGACTGCCTAGACAGCTCCCTGCAGTTTTCTTGGCAAGATTTTTCAGAAGTGGTTTGCCATTTCCTCCTTCCTAAACCCAAGATCCCCAGTTGACTTTGTACCTAAGGCAAGACTGGAACTCACAATCTAGAACTAGAACTAGAACTCACAGTCTCTCAGTTTCTAGCCTGATGTTTTAACCAGTTTGCCAAACTGACTTTCAAAGCCGTATTTTATTTGTTTCAAAAACAGTTGAAATAGAATGTATTCCAAAATAGCCTATATTTTCAATATAATCAAATCCTAGAGTTACCAGGAGTCAAAACAATTGAGTGGAGGGTTATGTTATTCATTAGTTCATGGTTGGCAAGCAGCCTTTCCTGACAGGATTAAGCAACATGTCATATGCAATAAGATACATGAACTGGTGATATATGTACCAAGTGAGTTTTGATGATTTGCTTTGATGACATCACTGATTACAATTACCTATAAGCTCCAATTAAAAGTTAATAAAACTATAATTACTATTCTATAGATCATAAGAGAAACTATTTTTCATTACCATAGAAACTAGGATTAGAAATAATGCATATAAATTGTAATTATCTAGAAGATCATTCTTCATAAGGTAGAAACATTTCCTATGGTAAATGTCACATCCTTTAACTTATCTATGGAGGCTATGGTTTCTCCTTCTCTACAGGTTTTTAAGATAGTTTCCTCTCAAAGGAACAAAAGATGGTTTAAGATTGTGTTTTACAGACACACACACACACACATTTTAAGATTATATAACCTTTGTGGTCATCCCATCTCCATAATTATGTGATTCTAGGATTAATTGCAACAAAACACTGTTGAAGGGGACCAGACTGGGTATCTTCAGCAAGTTATTTTTTGGAACTACAACCACAACTAGTGTACAATTTCTGTAAAATAGTGACACTTTCTGGACAAGAACCTTAAAAAGTTCTTTATGTGAGGAGAGTTCTTGGGAAGAATTTGCATCAATTGTTTCCAAAAACAACCCAGCATCAAAGATATGGAAAATAAGATTATCAAATAGTGTTTTATGGAGCAGTTTTTGAAAAATGAGTAATTCTCTAGATACACTTGCATGGAAATTTCTTCAGGAAAGGAAATCACTGCACCTGAAATGAGATAATGTCAACTCCTATCTCCTCTACTGTAATTGTGTCTAGTTCCATAATTTCTACTGCCACTCTTTACAATATCTTTAGCAAGGGAACAATGTTAATATTTAATAAAAATGAGCAAAACTTCACTACATGCTGTAGCATTTGAAATATTGTTAGATTTGGTTAAACAAGGTTCTACTTTTCTATTTTACACTTTTTCAAACGTGTGTGCATAATTACATAAAAGTGTCAGCAGATTTGTTAAGGAAGTCACAGAGCAACCCTTGAGTAGCAAGGGTGTACACATGAAAGCAATTGAGAGCAATTGCAAATAAACAGCCAACACACAGATACACTGAGTTGTGTTTTACTTTTAGGAAATAGTAGGAGGCACAGTCCAATAAACAGTCCAGGTCATACACAGATAAAGCAGTAGATAGTAAAACAATAGTCCAGGGATAATCCAATAACAAAGTCTTCTTACCAGTCGTCATAGTCATACACAATAAACAGTTGCAAACAGTAGCAAACACAGCAAAAAGCAGTAAAGATCAGTAACGATTAGCAAAGAGCAATAATGATCAGCAAAGAGAAACAAACCATGTTTCAAGCTCCCTCTTAAGGACATTGGCTACAGAGCAAACCAATCAGGACACAGTATGATGCAATACAGCAATACAGTCTTAAAGCTATATTGAGGGTTTATATATTGCCAACCCAACAAGTTAGGGAATTATCATTTCCTAACAAGATTGTATGCCTAAAATGTGTAATTCCACTTTACAAGGAATTCATAAAATAGCAGCTTAAATGCATGGAGAACAATAAATGTTTTCAATTTGGTTTACAAAAAGCAAATAACATCAAAAGATTTGGGCTGATGGTTGGGTAAATTTCACAAGTCAAGATGCACCTGTCATGATCCCGACTAACAAACCCAATCAAATCAAAACTCTGAGGCTGAGGTCTTCCTATAAGAGCTTCTTTATCATATTGGCATGATCAAATGGAAAACCAACTCTAAATATTTTCCACTGTTTCAGTATAATTAACATAGGAAATAACTCCCTCCCCAAAGTCACAGGTCACATTGGCCAATAAGGTTAATTGCCAGGCTCTCCAGGCACTCCTTCCCATCTCTATCCACCACCTGTAGAAATGACCTTGGTTCTCATGAGAGAGTTCCGTGTTTTGTCTAGTAATGCATTTCATCCTCCTTCCCCCTCCCCACTCGGTGTGGCAACTGAGGAATAGAAAAATGGCTTCTGCCGGGTTCGATTCAAAGGTGACAGCACTCTTCCATACCTGCATGATATGTTAATCGTATGTTTATCAGGGGTGGGTTGCTCCCGGTTTGGACCGGTTCGCATCGGTAGTAAAGGTAAGTAGAACCCACCCCCTGATGTGCATATGTTAACATCATAAAAGCTTTCTTGGATTTCTTAAGAGAAAGTAGCATTTAAAATCATATCCAGTAGATCCTTCCTCCAGTAGCCATGTTTAGGGGTTAAAGTGGCAGGGTATACAAATCATTATTGCATGATTTAAAAAACAGCATCAATTTCAATAACAGCTTTTTTTCTTGCTTCACTTCATCATATTTGGTAAACAATATTTGTATCACCGTGTTAGCCAGTTTCTCTGTGTTCCTGTCACTGCATTTCTAATATCAAAGCTAAAAGGCTGTTCAAGGTTACTCTGCATCAGCTCAAGGTCTTCCAGAATAAATTAAATGAAAATGATTGTGTAGGATTTACAATGCCACTATAAAAAAAAAAAATCTTGCAAGATCTAAGCTAATGCAATATGCAGCTGAGAGTTAAAATGATCAAATAAGTTTTGGTTTTGGTATAAATAGCATTTTACTTTCCCCATGACAGATTTTTCAGCTTCTTTTAGTAAATGACTGAAATTATTTTAATTTGTCCCATAAAAGAAATCTACGCGGCAATTTATGGTCACCCTCAAAGCTTAGAATAACAGCTTTTAAGTAATTAATTGGTAACATCACATTCCAG